AGTGTGCCTGTGATGAAGCCACAAGAACATCTTATAGGACATTTATGAGATCCTATGAGATGGCAGTCAAAGCCGGTGAGAGTATTATGCGGCCACGATTGCGTCTGCGAGCTCATGCCCAGCCCAATTATTTAGAATAATTCGGTCTATGACTGTTCTGCCACAAGGCAAACCAAATGTTAGGGCTGTGAGGCCTTTGCTAGCTACTTTGCAGATAAAGTCCTGTCGCTCCACTGCGACCTCCCCGCCACAGTTGAGACAGTAAGTGAACTCAAGGTTCCATGCACATCTTCTAGTCAGGTTATGGATTATTTCAGTTCACTCAGCCTGGAGGAAGTTGACAAACTGCTCTTAACTGTATACCCTACCACGTGCTGCCTTGACCCGTGCCCATCATGGCTAATTAAAGCTGGCCATGATGGGTTTCGAGATGCCCTAAGGGAGATTATCAACAAGTCCCTCTCAGAGGGACAGTTCCCTAGGGCACTCAAGGAAGCGGTCATTTGTCCCCTCCTAAAAAAGCCATTTCTGGATCTGGCTGAATTGGCTAACTACCAGCAGTTCTCCAATCTGCCTTATTTGGGCAAAATAATTGAGAGGACCGTGGCAATTCAGCTACAGAGCTTTTTGGATTATACTTCCATTCTAGATCCTTTCCAGTCTGGTTTCCACCCAGGCCACAGGACGGAGACGGCACTGGTCGCCCTTACGGATGACCCCTGGAGGCATCTGGATCGGGGCGGATTGGCAGTGATGTTGCTGTTGGACCTGTTAGCGGCATTCAACATGGTCGACCATCAGTTACTGATCCACCACCTCGCCGACACTGGAGTCCAGGGGCCTGCCTTGCAATTTACTTATTTATTTATTTAGGCATTTTTACCCCGCCCTCCCCGCAAGCGGGCTCAGGGCGGCTTCCTTCCTTCAGGGTCAGGGACAAAGGGTGGCACTAGGGGAGCAGCTATCCCAAAGGCACCCACTGATTTGTGGAGTGCCCCAAGGGGCAATGCTGTCCCCAATGTTATTTAACATCTACATGTGCCCCCTTGCCCAGAGGCATGGGCTGGGATGTCACCAGTATGCAGATGACACCCAGTTCTATCTGTTGTGGGCAGCCAGTCTGACTCCACACCGGAAGATCTTGACCGGGCGTTGCAAGCTGTAGCTGGTTGGCTCAGACTGAACCAACTGAAATTGAATCCGACGAAGACGGAGGTCCTGTGCCTGAGCCAGGGTGGCCCAAGGGTAGGGATCCTACTTCTGACCTTCGATGGGGCGCCATTGGTGCCAGTGCCGGAGGTTAGGAGCTTGGGAGCGCTCCTAGATGCCTCACTAACAATGGAGGCCCAGGTAGCAGCCACTGCCAAATCAGCCTTTTACCACCTCGGCTGATTAGGCAGTTGGTTCCCTTCCTCAAATGCAATGACTTGGCAACAGTGATCCATGTGATGGTCACCTCGAGATTGGACTACTGTAATGCTCTCTACATGGGGCTGCCCTTGACCCAAATCCAGAAGCTACAGCTAGTGCAAAATGCTGCAGCCAGGCTTCTGATGGGCCTCCCTATGCAGGAGCACATCCAGCCTGTGCTGAAAGCACTGCACTGGCTGCCAATAGCATACCGAATTCGCTTCCAGGTGCTGGTACTTACCTTTAAAGCCCTTTATGGTTAGGGGCCCACATACCTGAGGGAACGCCTTTCCCCACACGTTCCCCAGAGAGCACTGCGCTCAGGGTCACAAAATCGACTGGCCTCCCAGGTCCTAAAGATGCCAGGCTGGCCACAACTAGGGCCAGGGCCTTCTCAATGGTGGCTCCGTACTGGTGGGATGAGCTCCCAGAAGAGATCAGGGCCCTCGGGACCTTTTACAGTTCCACAGGGCCTGCAAGATGGAGCTCTTCCGCCAGGCCTTTGACTGAGGAGCCGCACCAAGTAACATCAAATAACTGAGAAGTGACAGTGCCTGGGCTTCCCATCAACAGCCTGTGCTGTTGCCTAAATATAGAGACCAAGATGAGCCAACCACCAATACAGATCATCTGATTACAACACTAGTATTGGTCCTGCCTTCTGTAAGCATTCTTATAAGTACCTGATCACTTACTAGCACTTTATGATAATGTAGAGTTTTATTATTTGTTTTAAGGTTGTATATAATTTGTTATCTATATGTTTAATCTCTTTGTAAGCCGCCCTGAGCCTGCTCTGGTGGGGAGGGCGAGGTATAAATTGAATAAATGAATAAATAAAGTTATTCACATTCTTTCGTTTCTCAGCAGTTTTCTGCACTGCATCCACAAGCATTTTTCCCCCTTGTCCTCGTCTTCCGTTGCTTTCTCAACTCTTCGTAGCATGAGCCTGTGCCATGTTGAATCCCACAATATCCCTCACCTCTGCTTTCATTGTCTCATGTTTTAAGAGGTTAGTTATGTTTCTATACTTTGTGGAGGATTTCACCAAATCACTTTCACTCTTAGGAACAAAGTCCTTAAAGTACTTCATCACTAAACTGAAAACAATATGGCTTCTCCCTGGGAAGTCATCACGTTCCCCCAAAAAGGCAGTAATGAAAACAGGAAAACACAAACTGCGTTCACAAAAAACAAAGAAATACTGACTTTACTGAACAATTCTTTTAAAAAAACCTGACAAATGACGGACCAAGATGGAAAAAACTGACTTTTACTGATTTTACTGACCATTTCCCACCCCTGTATAACCGAGGGGTGGAAACAGGAGCTCAAGATGACGCAACCAGGTACTTCCCAAAGAGAAGAAAGAGTTCCGGTTCTTCCTGGGTAGTGTGCATCTGGGTGCATGACTGAGACAAAGGGGTGGGGAGAGCCTGGCTGATTTGGGTTGCGGTACGAATGAGAAGGCAATACCTACTAAGATAAATGTGGAAGATGAGGAGGTGGCCCAACAGGAACAGAGTCAGCAGCCCCAGGAAGATCAGGATGCCAGCCAGGGCCAAGATGGCAGGGGCCTGGGTCTCAACGGGAGCAGCAGGAAGGAACACAAACCACACGTCCGTTTGGTTCTTTAAACCTCAGAAACAGAAAGGGGGGGGGGTGTTTTTGAACCAAGTCCCAGCTAGGAGCCAGACGTAAAATATCTCAAGTAGCAATACAATGATTCTGGACATGTGCAAAGTGCAAGTCCTCCCTCAATAAGTAAATGCAGCCAGCTTCCAGGCCACTGGATGTCACTTCCAGGAAGACGGGGCATGTCTGTTTCAGGGCCTTTCTGCACTCTCATTTCCCTGGCTAGCAAATGCCGGTTTCTTGGGGGGAGGGGTCTGTTCCACACGTGTTTTGCTCCCCTCTAATAACAAATAATAATAATACATGCAGCTTATATCCCGCTCGAACCCCTCCCACGGGGTCTCTGAGCGGCTTACGTAGTTTATTATCCCTAACTATGGGCACATACATCATTGGGGCGGGATTGCCTACCAGCACCCAGTGGGGTTCAGTTGGTATTTCCTCAGCTTGTCTTGGCTCGGCTCCTGGCTTCAGCTCAGCCTCTCCATCCACTCCTTCCTTTAGACCTCTCGGTGGTCTTCTGGAGTCGACGGGCCATTCGTCGTGCCGACCGCAGCGTGGCTCCGGCTCCGTCCCTCAGGCTCCACCACGCCTGCGCCGCTGGGTCTTTGCGCTTCCTGGCTCCGCCTCTGCCGCCGGTCCACCACTCGATGTTACGTCTTTCTTTACTTCCGCTCGCCACCTCGCCTGCCGCCGCCATTACACACCGCTCCGCCGCCGTCGCCGCTCACCGAATCGCCGCTGCTAGGGTCCCACCTTACCTCTCAATGGAGGAGGGTGCTCCCTGCCTTCTAAGGCAGGTACCCATTCATCTACTCGCAAGTTGTTAAGGCTTTCGAACCGCTGGGTGGGCGGGAGCTGGGACTAGGGCCGGGTGCTTACTCCGGCCGCGGTGGGTCTCGA